TTAATTTAAAAAAATTTACCCTTTATTTAATAACTTTTTTTAAAAAATAAAATAAAATAGGTTTATCTGACGCGTCACACGGGCCTTCCATAGACTTGAATTAGGACTATTGGTATTGGAATCGAGGTGGGTGCTGTTCATTGAAGGTGGGTCTTCAAAGTCGTCATTTGGGTGCTTCTGATCATTTCACCGGTTAAAACAAACTTTTTAACTCTCGCGTTATAAAATTGGTAGGTTTTAACTATTAATTTTATAATATAATATTTTTAATTTTTTATATTAAAAAATTAATAAATTTTAATCTTTTATCTTATAAAATTAATAAATTTTAACCTCTTACTTTATATTATGACACTTTTAATCTTTTATCTATACAAATTGAAGAAAATAACTCTTATTTAACATCAAATTATAATGTTTTGTTAGTTATATTAATTGACTGTCAATTTTGTTAGCTGACTGTCAATTTTATTAGTTGACTGTTAATTTTATTAGTTGATTGTTAACATCCATTAGCATTTTATTAATGAAACTAATAAATAAAATTGAATTTAAATTTCATATTTTTTATAACGAAATGCTAATAGATGTTAGCAGTCAACTAACAGAATTAACAGAGCGTTATAACTTGATATTAGGTGAGGATTATTTTCTTTAATTCATATCGATAAGGGATTAAAAATATCATAATATAAGGTAAAGGATTAAAACCTATCAATTTTGTAAGGTGATGGGTTAAAACTTACCAATTTTATAAGAACAAAAATTAAAACTATCATATTATAAGGTAAAGGGGTACAACTTACTAATTTTATAAGATGATGAGCTAAATATTGCTTTTTGCCCATTTTCACGTGGGTTTCCTCCGTATAGGCGTGAGTATTTTTAAGTATCTTATATAAATTATACTTGGTATTTAAAATATGATTTTTAAAATTTGTGGGTGTAATTTTTTAATTTAAATAATTTGTGGGTATATATTTATATACTTAACTTAGAGAAAGAAAAAAATTTATACAAGTTATCATTATTGTGTGTGTTATGCGTTTGATATAAAATTTACTATTTATACGAATTACTATTACTACATGCGTAATTTA